TGTGACGCAAAGAGCCTTCACGTCCATTCTACTACTATAACCATACGGCGATGACAATCCCTATATGGTCATTCATCTAAAATAACTCCTTATTTAGACTTAAGTACTATTATACTTTACATCTCTGCGTTCTGCATATGACGACATCCAGGAGTCCAACTATCACCGTCCAGGGCCGACCGACCACTATAAGTAACCACAGAGAACAGGGCTAATTGGTCAGATGTCGTCCAGCGCTCAACAGCTCTACGATCTGTTTACGAGACCTATTGTCCATACTTAACTGTTTTACATTGTGTTGTTAATCGTTTCTTATTTTAACATACGTATTAAAAGTTATTACTAACTTTGTTTGTTAAAATTCTGTTCTGCCTACCCTCTTCCATCCTCACACGGCCTCCAGGCATAACAGTGGTGTCAGAAATCTCGACCTCTACCCTCAACTACAACACACATTTTCAAAGGACTCTTTGGACGGCTCTCTCCAAATTTTCGACCACTCAACCTTCAACTTCAACGCCGCTACGATGTCTTCTATCGAACTGTAAGCATACGTTTATTGTCTCATTTTTATTATTGAAGGACCTATTATTACTTTTCTTTTACGATTGTAAAAATCTTTATTAACTCACCATGGCCACTGCGAGTAACAACACGGGAAACGCCTCGGGTAGTACCGTACCACTCGTAAGTCTTAATTTAGATGGGGCTCTCAAAATAATTCCGCATTATGACGGAACCACAGATTTTTCTTTTTATGAAAATCAGTGTGATTTTATTTTTGAAAACATACATGATAGCTTAAAACCCATTATTTTTAAAGCGGTATTGAGTAAATTATCCGGGAAAGCTTTCGAAGCAATACGCTACCGAATCATAGGAGATTATGCTAAACTTAAACAAATTTTAAAATCGACCTTTGCACAAAAACATTCTGTTTCTTATTTACAAAATTCTTTAACATCACTCAGGCAGGATAAAGGCGAATCAGTTAACGTTTATGCTCAAAAAGTAGAAAAGGCTTGCCAGGAATTAACTTCAGCTATAACAGAAGGTCGTTCTCAGAATACCATAAATGGTATGGCCGCAGTCGTCAAAGCTCAATCATTAGCTGTATTTATTAGTGGTCTTATTCAACCAATACGCACAATCCTTAAAGCCACAAGACCCGATTCTTTCGAATCAGCGGTAACAGTCGCGATAGAAGAAGAAAAAGCTCTCGAAAGCGAATACGCGCTTCATAAACGCGACAATTTTAATCCAAATTTTAAGAAAAACCGTTCTAACGATAAACAAACACGTCCTAATAATTTCGTACGCCTTATCTGTGCTTATTGTAAAAAAAATAACCACCATATTTCGGAATGTAGGAAATTAAAATTCGTCGAAGAACAGAAAGCGAACGCAAATTCCGCAGGTTCTTCTCAAACGCCGCGTAATAATTCAAACAACGCTCGCGACACACGTAAACCGTCGTTTAATCGTCGTCAGCCTAACACAAGGGCAACAAACTCGCGTTCTGCCTCCGATAGCGCTATTAAAACCGCAAGTGACTTTCAAACCGCTAGTATTAAACTAGTCACAAAAATCGAAAACGATCACATTTGTTGCTATTCAACACATTTAAAAGCAGGAAACGGGAAATTTTTTTTAGATAGTGGCGCCGATGTTAACTTAATTAAAATTCAATCACTTAAAGGTTTTGTCGAGATCGATACTTCCAAGGCAAAAATTTTAAACGGCATAAATTCAGTCTCAGTAAAGACCTTAGGTCAAACTATTATCGAACTTATTATTGATAACCGCAAAATTTTAGTAGAATTTCAAATCGTAGAAAACGATTTTCCTTTACCTTTTGACGCATTACTCGGAAAAGCATTTCTGAAGTCTCATGGTGCAGTCCTCGACTTAAACGATAATATTTTGATTCTACCAACAAACGAAAATTCTATTATGGTACCCGCGCGTGCAAAATATATTTACTCTATTCAAACACACGACATTATCCCGAACAATACCGATATTATTCTTCATAATAAAAATCTAACAGATGATGTTATTCTAGGGAATTGTGTTACGACAGTACACAATAACGAGGTTATATCAAGTGTCATTAATCTTGACACAGCGCCAGTTGAAATCCGCAATCTATCATTAAATGACTGTATATGGGAATTATTAGACACAGCAAACGTTAATGTAATCCAAGACTCGTCGAACACTACCGACACTATCCCCACAGCCACACAACCGGATCGTATTTCTCGTTTAAACGATAATTTAGACTTGACCCATTTAAATCCCGATGAACGTGATTCTGTTTTAGACATCTGTCATAAGTACTCAGACCTATTCTTTCTTGAAGGCGACTCGCTCACTTTCACTAAAACACTTATGCATTCAATTAATACGCCAACCGATGCTAGACCGATACATCTTAAGCCGTACCGATTGGCGCAAGCTCAAAAAGGGGAGGTAGACAGACAAGTCACCGAATTGCTAGGGCAAGGTATTATCGAACATAGTAATAGTCCATGGAATTTCCCTCTTCTTGTCATTCCAAAAAAGGAAGATAGAACGGGTAAAACCAAGTTTCGTATTTGTATTGACTACCGTAAACTCAACGAGATAACTAAGGGAGACGCGTATCCATTGCCGAATATTACCGATATACTAGACAATTTAGGCTCTTCTAAATATTTTACAACTTTAGACTTAGCTAACGGTTATATGCAAGTCAAAATAGACCCAAAAGATCGTGAAAAAACGGCGTTCAGCTGCGATCAAGGTCACTTTCAATACACTCGACTGAATTTTGGCATGGCTTCAGCGCCAGCGACCTTTTCGCGTCTCATCAAAAGCGTTATCAGTGGTCTAAGCCCACCTTTTGTATACGCCTATTTAGATGATCTTGTTTTGCATGCGACTAGTTTAAAGGATCATTCAGAAAAATTAATTAAAGTTTTTAATCGTCTACGACAACACAACTTAAAGTTGCAACCTGCCAAATGCGAATTTCTCCGTAAAGAAACGATTTACCTGGGGCATGTCATTTCTTCACAAGGTTTACGTCCGGACCCTAGAAAAGTAGAGGCAGTCCTAAATTTCCCTCGACCTATTAACACAAAAACTTTAAAGAGTCTGTTGGGACTTAGCAATTACTATCGGAAGTTCATTCCGTCCTACGCAAAGATCACTAAACCATTAACTTCACTTCTAAAAAGTAACGTACCATTTATTTGGAGTGATCTATGCGAACAAGCTTTTTGTCAAATCAAAGACATTTTAACTACAGAACCTATTTTACAATTTCCCGATTTCAAAAAGCCCTTTGTACTCAGCACCGATGCAAGTAGTTACGCATTGGGAGGAGTCTTAAGTCAAGGACCCATTGGAAGGGATCTACCCTGTGCTTATTCAAGTCGAACTTTGAATAAAGCTGAAATTAACTATTCGACTATAGAAAAAGAATTACTATCTATTCTTTGGAATGTCAAACATTTTAGGCCTTATCTATGGGGTAGACATTTTACTATTTTCACAGACCATCGCCCGTTATGTTATTTATTCAATATCAAAGACGCTAGTTCACGTCTAGTCCGTTGGAGACTAGAGTTATCTGAGTACCAATTCGATGTAGTCTATAAACAGGGAAAATTTAACACTAACGCCGATGCGTTATCAAGGGCTATCCCGGAATACGAAATAAAAAATATTCCTAATTATATACACAAGATTACGTATACAGGAGGGTTTGACGATTTCTTTAATCGATATACAAGTTCCATTATTCTCAACTCGCGTGTCACCGACGTAAACGATACTATAACGAGCGTAGCCGACAACACCGTAGTAGTATTATTTCTCGACCAAGACCGGTTTGCTAATTCATATAAGGAATTGACCACTTGTTACCCAGAACTGCACGATGTAACATTTCCGCAATCAGACAAATACATTTATTCCACGGATAAATTTTGTATATTGTTTTTTTTAGGCGACAGTAATCCGTTTACTTCCCAATCTATTTATGATAAATTGTCAGAAGTAAAGGATTACACATGTGCAAACAATACCACACACGTTCATATCGATTTAAATAGTAAATGTATAGAAGACGTTGCACAAACCCGAGCTATGACGCGATACGTTTTTTCTAATAGCAATATCCAGGTTACATTGTTTTACGCGACCAAGGACGAAACGGCAAACGGTACACCGCCCGATGCCGCCGCCAACGAGGCCGCTGCACTCGTATCGGATTCCGAATCAATTAATACAGATAACGAACCACGTGCTATTGTTGACATAGATCAACAACAGCAGATAATCAGGGAATTTCACGATAATCCGTTAGGAGGGCACCAGGGTTCCAAGCGATCGTTTAGTCGGATTGCTAGGTTATACCATTGGAAAGGGATGCGTAAACAAATAGAAGATTATATATCTAAATGCGACATTTGCCAAAAATCAAAAAAACATTTAAATACAAAACAACCAATGGTTATCACCACCACATCTAGGTATAGTTTTGAAAAACTTTTTATGGATTTAGTCGGTCCTATGCCTCTAACAACTTCAGGACACAGTTATGTCCTTACGATGCAGGACGACCTTTCGAAATACGCTATTGCCGCACCCTTAAAGGACGCGACAGCTAGTACAGTTGCGAAAAGCTTCATAAAACATTTTGTATGCATTTACGGCATACCAGACACGATCGTCACCGATCAAGGTACAAACTTCATGTCAGAACTCTTTACTAATGTGTGCAAACTTCTGAAAATTCAGAAAGTACACACCACAATTTACCACCCACAGGCTAACCCAGTGGAACGATGGCATAGATATCTCAAAAATTATCTTAGGTGCTATATAAATAAAGACCAATCAGATTGGAACGACTATCTATCATTCGCTTTATTTACTTACAACGTAATACCACATTCTAGCACTAATTATACTCCATATGAAATTGTTTTTGGCCGCCCGCCAAATGTACCCACATCGTTCTCACAACCAGTAAGACCTATTTACAATTATGACTCTTATTTATGTAAATTACGACATAAAATGCAATTAGCAAATGAAATCGCTAGGCAAAACTTATTGGTAAGCAAAACCAAATCAAAAGAAATATATGACCGTACCGTCAATTCTTTAGAGTTAGACGTAAATGATCAAGTTTACATGTTAAATCACAATAAAGCAAATAAGCTTTGCGAAGAATGGATTGGACCTTTTACAATAACAGACATTCATGATAATCATAATATCACAATTAAAAAGGGGAGGAAAGACGTAAAACTACACATAAATAACGTAAAGAAATGTGTAAATAATTCACTTTAAAAAATTATAACCTTTTTCTTTTTGTATACAATATTAACACATGAACATTTTATATTCTAACTTTATTATTCTCATATAAAAAAAAATATTATCTTATTCTACTGACCTTTCACTTTTTATTGAAACACTATTACACAATACCATTTTCAACTTGTCATAAAACCTGTTCAGAATTATTATACTAATAAGGCATTGTTTATATAGGAATTTCATTGTCATCGACTTGGAGTTCATGAATTTGAACCCAGAAGAACGAGTTCTCGTCTCGGGAGCCATAGCGAACTCGTTGGATAGGTTTGATATAGTTCACCTTACCGGAAATCCTATTGTAATCAATAAACGGGGGTACACTAGACCTCTTGAATTATCCACTGAATACCCCGAATTTGTGAGGGAATGCCAACGGATTTTCGGCAAGACCGAGACATCCACTAACGAACGACTATACCCATTACTTGCCGAACTATATGACAGTATACACGAACCCCTTAACAACCTTAACCCGGAATACATAAAATCTTATATCACTAAACGGGGGGACGCTTCCTTTATCGTTCTTTGGAGTGGGGATACTGATAGGACCATTTTAACCCAGTTAGGGATACATTTCACAATGCTTAACTTAACAGCCAGAGACCTTTCCAATACAGGGACATACACTTTAACTCTAACAAATTTCACGACACGTAGAACGCTATTCTCTATAGAACTCGGTCCAGTGGTTACCGCAAAAGGGAATGTATTAAGTCTATATCACACACATTCCGTCTTTTGTGGTAGGGGACATTCTAACTGTATACATCCACACCACCCGATTACAGACCTACAATGGACTAGGTGCATATTTGACAGATTAGTTAGGAAAATGACATACAAACGACTATGTGCCGAACTAACAAACTCACATTAGCTACTTCTCTACTTCTTTTAACACAAGATTCTAAAGTACATATGCATAAATACGTACGGATACAACTTCGTCTAAACACGATTATCTACAATATTCACAGACCAGTTGCTTTATAATCGAACATTGTTATTATTATAAAATGATTTAATACATTACAGAATGTTTTGGATCACAACCCTTCCAGCGTTTTTTGTTCATACACAAGCCACGCTGATAACTGATACCAAGTTCGAATCAGGACTTTACTATGAACATCAAGGGATATTGAAAATATCGAATGACCGATGGAAACTAGTGACATATTATGATTTCAGTAATTACATTACAAACGCTCAAACACTAACAAACATCACAGTGGAAACTGATAAATTATGTACTTTCATCGACACATTGGGTAGTCATAGTAACAAGACCTATAGTTCTTTCTGCACTGCTATGAGTGCGAAACAAAAACTTACAAAAACTAACATAGATATCCGAAGGGAAGCATTATTAGATGTAGTAGGGTATAATCCCAGCTACAAACACTTTTCTAAACGCTCGATTACTAATACTATAAAAAACATAGCACACGTTCTATTCGGAGTATGTGACGCTCTATGTTCAGATACTAACTTAGGTCACATACAGAATATACATAACTCAGAAAATCAACAATTAGATGTGCTAGATAAACAAATAAAAATCATTAAATCTGGTATGACATCCTTACACACTTTAACTAAAAATCTTAATGATAATACTCAAGTAATTTCTAAACAATTGGATAAAATAAATCAAAGTTTGACCAATATAGCGACACTTAATGAAATAGGCTTTGCCGTTACACAGCAGTTTCTATTATTAAACGCTTTAACGGACCAGTACGATTCTGATACAAACTTGTTGTCTGATTTAATACACGCCGCACAGGTAGGACAAATACATTCGAGTATTATAACACCCAGTGAACTTTTAGACACTCTAAAAGACATAAAAGTACATTTACCAAAATCAACTGACTTACCTGTAGGTTTCACCACCGCCGATGTTGGTGAGTTACTAAAGATTTCTGAGACAACTATATTTTCAAAGGACCAAACTATTGTATTTGTAATTGATATACCAATTGTAAACCAAATCGAACTAAACTTATACAATTTAATACCTTTACCCAAACATGTTACTAATGATAAATATATTTACATTGATTCTAATTATGACTATATTGCTGTTAGCAAAAGTAAAGACTATTATACAACTTTTAACAACCTACAAATATTACAATGTAAACGTACTAAAAACTTTATCCTATGCCCGCAATACCAACCGTTACACCCTAAATCTATGAAACCTATTTGTGAAATTGAATTGTTTTTTCAACCACCTAAATTACCTTTGGATTGTAAAATAAAATATTTTGAATTAGACACTAGTATTTTTCACAAATTACTTTTTAAAAATTCTTGGTTATATATTACCAGGGAAGAAAATATTTTATTAACTTGTAATGAAAATATAGAAACCAGTAACACCCGTATCCATGGGGTAGGATTAATACATATACCCATTAATTGTAAAGCATATTCCAATCAGGATGTGCTGATTCCAAATATAATTAATGAGAATATTGATTACATTGATTTTGTACCACAGATTAAAATTACTAATACTAGTTATACGGATAAGTTAAATATTTTAAATGTAAACAAATTATTGACAGACCATGTATTAACTAACAAACTTAATGATGTGAAACGTATATCTGAATCATTATTAAATGTACCTGATAAACTTAATCAGAAAGATTTTCAATACAATGTAATAACTAATACTAGAAGACATGACATGTTGTTATACACCATTTGTACAATAATTATACTTTATTGTCTGTATTTTGTTTCAACCCTTGTGACAAGACTTTTCCCATGTAATAACAGAATATACAATTTTTGCTCTGAGTCTGTTACTAGGCCAACCAATACTGACGGAGTTGGACAACCGCTTTCTACAACGGACCCTACCAATTTTGAAGATGTTGAACTTCAACCAAGAGTGACAGCTCATCATATCGCAACCAGGGACGTTTTACACTATCCACCACTATACTAAAGAGGACATCCGACAAAATATGCCTCTTTACTTAAGGAGGGGCGTGTGACGCAAAGAGCCTTCACGTCCATTCTACTGCTATAACCATACGGCGATGACAATCCCTATATGGTCATTCATCTAAAATAACTCCTTATTTAGACATAAGTACTATTAGACTTTACATCTCTGCGTTCTGCATATGACGACATCCAGGAGTCCAACTATCACCGTCCAGGGCCGACCGACCACTATAAGTAACCACAGAGAACAGGGCTAATTGGTCAGATGTCGTCCAGCGCTCAACAGCTCTACGATCTGTTTACGAGACCTATTGTCCATACTTAACTGTTTTACATTGTGTTGTTAATCGTTTCTTATTTTAACATACGTATTAAAAGTTATTACTAACTTTGTTTGTTAAAATTCTGTTCTGCCTACCCTCTTCCATCCTCACACGGCCTCCAGGCATAACACCATTTAGTTATCTACATTTGGTGTGTCCTAAGCTTATCACTTATGGGATTTGATGTTTTTTATGAGATTATTAGTGAATCTTATTGTTAGATAATTTTTATTGTTTCTTATATTATGATGTCTGTTTTAGGTCGCAAGCCTGTGGTTGGTGTTGCCAGCCAGGGCCATAAGTGAAGGTTATCAATATCCTGTAATCATATTGAGACTCGGACACCCAGGTCGCCCTACACAGGGTCAAATGTGGGAGTCATTTTACTAAAATTTCATGTTTTATTCCAAATCTTCCAAAAATTAATATAGTAATCTATTCAGTAATTATTAAATACCTTCAAAAGGACTAAAAAGAAAAAAAAATTAATTAATTTAAAAAAAACTTTTTTAAAAACGTGCTTTTTAAAAATAAAAAATAGTAATAAATTTATCAGGTTATGTTTTATATTGTAAGATCTTTTGTAATTTAAATTTAGTTTAATATTTGTATAGGACACATACTTTGTTGAACAGGACCCACGCTTTTCTTTTTAGTCAAAATTTAAAGTTGTTTAACATTATTTAAAATTGAAGTTAATTTTCGGTTTTTTTTTTTTCAAAGTAATTGACATTTTAAATAAAATATGCTACAATTGATTGGTAAATTTTCTTGTAATAAAATTTTTTTTTACTATTTAGTTTTTTACTATTTTTTTTTTTTTAGAAAAGCATGTTTTTAAAAATGTTTTTTTTTAATTATTGTGTGTAATATGTTACATTGTATGTAATATAAAAATAATATTTGAATGGGTCGAATACAATATTTGAAATGATTAAAATAATTTTAAAAAATAGTATTTAAATAGTTTTTAAGTACTTTTTTAATGTAACTATATTTGAAAATATGATTTCGTATAAATCTAATATTTACTACATTTAAAAAATATATAAAACCAGTAAATATTCCTCTAACCAATTTTTTGTAAGAATATTTTTCTTATTCGAATAATTTAAAAAACATTATTCAAATAAACTGTAAAATGATTATTCAAATAACGTTTTATTCGAATAAAAAAATCGCACAACAAAAAAGAAAAAATATTTATCAGTAGCGGCTCGTGCTATGTGCGATGGTGCGGCCGCACAACTTACAGAAATAATGAGTGAATGATAAACCAATTGAGAATTATGTTCAAATGTGTCAAATTTCAAAGTATTGTCATCATAAAGAAACACACACACACACACACACCTAAGAAGTTTATTTTAATAAATCAACACATTATAATGAATTTATAATTTAAAATAATTAGTTGGTATAGTTGATGATAGAGTAATCAGATAAAAAAAAACAATTTATATAGATGGAAATAAAATATAATTAAAGCTGCTATTATGGCATGGCTGGTAAAAGTACTTATTGGTCAATTATATGACGGAGGAGGAGCCATGTTTTAAAATGGAATTTTATAACTGGCCACCATATGTATATACAATTGGCGAAAATGCCCACTGAAGTATGTGTAAGTAATAAATTCTAACAAATCTTTTTCTTACAAAACGTCGTTTTCGACGCTCATTTTCCAAGAAACTAACGCGTGAAATAAAATTTTAAAAAAAATCCTATACGATTTTCGTATATAACGCGCTATTTGTGCAATAAATTACTCTCTTAAACCGTTTTAGTTACCCTTGCCGTTGTACAAAATCTCTAGTGGCAACCTACCTGACCAGGCATAACACCATGTCGTCTCAATGAAACTCGGACTCTCAGCGTAGAGGTATTTATTTAATTTATCTAACTTAACGCGAGTATTATATTACAGAAAATACAGAAAAAGCGATAACAGCGTAAGTAATGGTTTTAGGTTTTCTTTTCGTTTTAGCTGTAACTGTCTATTTTATTTGACGTTTTACAATTATTGCTCCTATCCTTAAATGTTCTTTAGGCGGATAACTACTTCAAAAACATTTGTGAATTTCACAAAATTTAACGAATTTTAGTAATTATTTAAAAGTGAAAACATTTTATAAATACAAATAGAAGAAGAAAAGGGGTTTAAAATACTGATAATGGACCTTTATTTTATACAGCCGACTAAATAAAATATCTCCATCGCTCAATTCACTTATAGGCTGTTGTTTGTAGTCAACGGGTAATAAATCAATTTACATTATATTGTTAATTACGATTTAAGGGTAACTACTATAAAATCGAGATAAAATAAATGTTTGTGTATTTTTTTTTAAAGTGACTTATAAAAAACGTTTTTTAAAGACCTATGTGATTTAGTACATGTTTTGCTATGACTCGTTCTGTGCCGGATTACCCTGCACGTCGTGGCGTCCGGTGTTCAGACAATGGGAAATACGACGCTATAGAAATCACAATAAAGATTATTATAGCTTATGCACACTGCTCAATTTGTATTAATTTTCCCGGTCTGGAAACGAGGTCAAACGGATATACCAACAAAGGGAACCCGTTGATAAATTGAAGGGTCGATGAATACTAGCGTTTCTCGCAGGATGGATTAATAAACGGCAATAATAGTCAGGACGACTTTGCCTGTCAAACAAACTAGAGGGGTCGGCTGAGGTTTGTATCACACGCCAGTTTTGGCAATCGTCATTCGATCACGAAGGCTTTACTCGTTCGGTCGCGAATTTCTTTTGCCCGTTTTTAGTGAATTTCCCATCATAAAAACAATTTCGTTTGTGTGTATTCGACAACGTCATCATGTTCAAAATCTATATTGTCTTATCGGTTGCACTGCTATCGCTTTGGTTGGACATTGGTACCGCTACGGGTGGATCTGGGCTTCAACACGAATATACTCACGGCGACCATATTTGTGCCGTGCTATCAGCAAACGTTGTCAATTTTACCACCGTCGATAACAACCAATACGTCCAATTTACATTGTTAGCAGAAGGCGTAGGTCTCACGAAAGATTTAATGGTGCGTACGACTTCAGCTTTTAAGGGGCGTGGATCATTATGCTTCACAGATCAACAATATAAGTATGCCGACTCCGAGAGAAACTCGTTTGAAATAGTAAGTCCGACATTACTGTTTTCAATACTTCGAATATGAATAATATCGGCTAGTACATTTTTAAATACCATCGTACCCGTGGATCATTACTTTAAGCAAAACCAATTCCAGTTAGTTTAATACTAATATATTCTGTTCGTTCATAAGATATAAAAACGTATCAAAATTGTTTTAGTCAGTAGTTTCGTTAGGTCTAGTTTAGATGACAGTTGTATTGATAAACTACGTTGGTATTAGCTTTAAACACTCGGTCGTACTGTTAAACGTAAAAAAAGCTGTGCTTGTGCGTTACGTTTTTTTTTATGAATTTCGATAAATTTAGTTATGATTCAATATTTAGTTAAAAAAAAAAAAATCTAAAATTAATTCTAAAAAGTCGTTAAAAGTCAAAAACATTTTTTATAATTCATATTATATTATGTAGCATTATAATTGACGTCTTATTGTAACAAAAGAAAATATAACATTTGTATATGATATTAGGTCCTCATATCTCGTCAGTTGCCTTCGCCCTATCCTTTATAAATAAATAAATAAATATATATATATGAATATTAATTGTAATACCCTTAATGATTTTTAGTTACAAGCTAATGGTACACAAATGTATTTAACCAACAAGTTGAAGATCGATGAAAATGTCGTGGAAGGAAAGTTGTTCCTGTGCCTTAACGGACCACGGGTATCGACCAGAAATTCGTCACATGGTCGTTGGGTACATCAGGGTGATTTTGGTTGGATCGTCTGGCCTGTACCACCGATGTATCTGTTTCGTAGATATGTATACGAAGTGTGAGTATGTTATAGATAAACTTTACATATCGTTAGTAGTGTAACGATCATATTTCACTTGACCGTTACTTCGCGTCCCAAACCAACTGACACAGCACCCCCGACTATAGGTAGGGGAACGGTCGCACACACAGGACAATGCACGTCGCGTATCATCTAATTAACCAGTTGACTTTACCATCACGGACCGCCAATATCCTCGACCTTGCGCTCTATATTTTTGCCGTTTTACTACAAGCCGCCCATCCGACTATCTTTTGTGTGCGTCCGTTTCAACTCCGCTTTGACCAACCATTTCATCGTCCAACCCAGGTCAGAGTGTATATATATATATATATATATATTGTATAATTTTGTATTTTATTTAGAAACCCTAATTTAGAATAAAACATCTTGTAGCCTGCAGCTGAGAGTTAGATTATTTAACAGTGTGACCGCCCGTTCTAGCTCCTCGGGCGATATATTAAGTTAATAAGGGAGACTTTAAGGCCAATTAGACGTAGACAACGGCCTAGCCAACCGTTTTCCCGTGGGGATCCGTCTATTTTAGCTTTATCGACGGCCACTTTGCCTAGTCTAGCCAGCTAGACAAGTAGGTCCGTTACAGTAGTATTTCACTAATGAGTGAAATAGTAACGCATTAAGTTACTTAAGGAATATTAAATAATTACCAAGTTCAAATAATATCTTTCTGTTTTGGTGATAATTATTTGTTGATCAAGAAAAATTTAACTTTCTGTAAAGATAATTACTAAAAATTCATGATTCTCCGATCCCACAATGCTGGCTATTTTATTATTTCAATTTATTTTGAAAAATGACGATTATTTATTAAGACAATTTTTTATTTTTATTTTTCATTTCCATACCTGTTATTCAACCTAATCCCCTAGGATTGAACCTGAGCAATTTTTATTTAAATAACAAGTTGTTTGAAATTATTACTTGAACATTGTATTTGTTAATATAATGCTCAGGTTCGATTACAATATTCGTGCACCGATGGTAATCACTAACCTTGATTAAATAATTGTCGGTTTACAGCACCGAACCTGCAAGTGAATCCAACTCATTTGAGACAACAACAAGCGACTATGGAAAAAAATACAAACATCGTGGTAACAAGTTACATTTTTTAAATGACACGGCTTGGTCCTATACAAAAATGAACCGGACG